AACACAGAGTGGGGTGGATCCTCATCTTCAGCGTCCAGACCATGGAGATCAAGTGAGTGGCGATGAGTGAGTGTACACTTCTTTAATTGAAGATAACACAGCATGAGAAGCCGTGTACAGTTTTTTTCTGTGCGTTCAACTTATTTCACACAGATGGCATATACTCTTTTAGATAGAGATAATGCCACAAGTGTCTGAACTTCAATTTAATGTAAAATAGAGACTCTTGTAAATAGAGATACTATATACATTTATCTCCATGAATCATCCGGCGAGCAGACAACTCCGAATGGAGCGAACTTCAAAAATTTACCAACTTCGATTTCAGTCCATTGTTTGCTTGAATGAGCAACTTTGGAGATCCGCTATTTCCGTTTATTTCGTGATTTGGTCAATTGTTTTTCCGTATGACCTGAATTTCTGAATCTTGCGAACCCGAACTTTTCAATTCGAACTTTCACCGGTAGAGCGAGGCATTTTGCCTATGGAGAGACCGTGCGCGAAGCACCATTGGTCACTACTGGAAAAATTAGCGAATCCGCTGTTCTTTTTCGACATGTCCTTAGGACATTCGCTGCTTTCACGTGTTTTTCAATTCGAAGCCACTGCGTAACTCCGGTTTCTTTTGCTATTTGCCATTGTGTAGAGAAGTCAGGAAGATACTCTTAATACCAATTGGGTACGGCAAGGCGTAGTGCTCTACTCATTGCTTTTGAATTTGTGCCTGTGTTTTTGTTTCGACCGAATACCTACATAGGTACATGCATGAGTATTGAGCACATTTATATGCGCCCTTCAAGGCTCAAGAGGTATATAGAGTAACCCTGTAGACAAGCACTGACCGGCAACAGGCTGAGAGTAAAAGAGTGCTGTCATTGGGGAAGACGCCTTAGCTGATCTTGAAGTAGACGCTAGGGCCCCTCTTCAGCCCTCCCCCCCATGCCCCCCACCAGCCTTAGGAAATTTGTGGGGTAATGTTTAAGGCACAATACAAGACAGACGACACCAGACACAAGAACAAGAAACAAGAAGGAAGAACAACAACGAGAACAACAATAACAAGGCAGAAAGGAAAAGAAGCGAAACGAAACGGATCAAAGCCAGAACGATGTTCTTCCTGTGTTCTTTGGGGGGACGCGCTGCGCCCTCCCCCCCATGCCCCCCACCAGCCTTAGGAAATTTATGTGGGGTAATGTTTAAGGCACAATACAAGACAGACGACACCAGACACAAGAACAAGAAACAAGAAGGAAGAACAACAACGAGAACAACAATAACAAGGCAGAAAGGAAAAGAAGCGAAACGAAACGGATCAAAGCCAGAACGCTGTTCTTCCTGTGTTCTTTGGGGGGGACGCGCTGCGCCCTCCCCCCATGCCCCCCACCAGCCTTAGGAAATTTATGTGGGGTAATGTTTAAGGCACAATACAAGACAGACGACACCAGACACAAGAACAAGAAAGAAGAAGGAAGAACAACAACGAGAACAACAATAACAAGGCACAAAGGAAAAGAAGCGAAACGAAACGGATCAAAGCCAGAACGCTGTTCTTCCTGTGTTCTTTGGGGGGGAGGCGCTGCGCCCTCCCCCCATGCCCCCCACCAGCCTTAGGAAATTTATGTGGGGCAATGTTTAAGGCACAATACAAGACAGACGACACCAGACACAAGAACAAGAAACAAGAAGGAAGAACAACAACGAGAACAACAATAACAAGGCACAAAGGAAAAGAAGCGAAACGAAACGGATCAAAGCCAGAACGCTGTTCTTCCTGTGTTCTTTGGGGGGGAGGCGCTGCGCCCTCCCCCCCATGCCCCCCACCAGCCTTAAGAAATTTATGTGGGGCAATGTTTAAGGCACAATACAAGACAGACGACACCAGACACAAGAACAAGAAACAAGAAGGAAGAACAACAACGAGAACAACAATAACAAGGCACAAAGGAAAAGAAGCGACACGAAACGGATCAAAGCCAGAACGCTGTTCTTCCTGTGTTCTTTGGGGGGGAGGCGCTGCGCCCTCCCCCCCATGCCCCCCACCAGCCTTAGGAAATTTATGTGGGGTAATGTTTAAGGCACAATACAAGACAGACGACACCAGGCACAAGAACAAGAAGAAGAAGGAAGAACAACAACGAGAACAACAATAACAAAGCACAAAGGAAAAGAAGGGAAACGAAACGGATCAAAGCCAGAACGCTGTTCTTCCTGTGTTCTTTGGGGGGGGGGGGCGCTGCGCCCTCCCCCCCATGCCCCCCACCAGCCTTAAGAAATTTATGTGGGGCAATGTTTAAGGCACAATACAAGACAGACGACACCAGACACAAGAACAAGAAGAAGAAGGAAGAACAACAACGAGAAGAACAATAACAAGGCACAAAAGGAAAAGAACAGAAAGGAAACGGATCAAAACTAGAACGCTGTTCTTCCTGTGTTCTTTGGGGGGGAGGCGCTGCGCCCTCCCCCCCATGCCCCCCACCAGCCTTAGGAAATTTATGTGGGGCAATGTTTAAGGCACAATACAAGACAGACGACACCAGACACAAGAACAAGAAGAAGAAGGAAGAACAACAACGAGAACAACAATAACAAGGCACAAAGGAAAAGAAGCGACACGAAACGGATCAAAGCCAGAACGATGTTCTTCCTGTGTTCTTTGGGGGGGAGGTGCTGCGCCCTCCCCCCCATGCCCCCCACCAGCCTTAAGAAATTTATGTGGGGTAATGTTTAAGGCACAATACAAGACAGACGACACCAGACACAATAACAAGAAGAAGAAGGAAGAACAACAACGAGAACAACAATAACAAGGCACAAAGGAAAAGAAGCGAAACGAAACGGATCCAAGCCAGAACCATGTTCTTCCTGTGTACTACTACAACAACAACAACTACTACTACTACTACCACTACTACTACTATTATTACTACTACTATTACAACAACAACAACTACTACTACTGCTACTACTGCTACTACTACTCCTACTCCTGCTCCTACTCCTACTACTACTACTCTACTACTCTACGACTCTACTACCCTACTACTCTATTACTCTATTATTCTACTACTCTACTACTCTACTGTTACTACGACGACGCCGACGACGACGAGGACGACGACGACGACTACTACTACTAGTACTAGTACTACTACTACTACTACTACTACTCCTCCTGCTACTACTACTACTACTTCTACTACTACTACTACTACTACTCCTGCTGCTACTACTACTACTTCTACATACTACTACTAAACTACCTCCTGCCCTGCTACCACTACTACTACACTCTCGCTGCTGCTTCTGCTGCTGTCTACTGCTATCTGCTACGTGGCTTAAGCCACACCCTGCTATTACTACTAACTCTTACCACTACAACTACGTGGTACTACTAACTAACTCAAGCACCAAATAACCACTACTACTTACTACTATTATTACAAATTACTACTACTATTACCACTACAACTACTTGTACTACTACTACTACTACTACTACTACTACTATTACAACTACAACTACTACTACTACGACTACTACTACTACCACTACTACTACTACTACTACTACTACTACTATCAACAACTAACTCCAAAGCGTAAATTTGTGTTATGCTACTACTACTACTACGACGACGACGACTACTACTACTACTACTACTGCTTCTACTTCTAGTCAGGCCAAAATCTAAAAAAAGATTTGCTGCGAGATGAGGAGTAGGGGGTGGTGGAGCCTTCCCTCCTGATCGTTGGAAGCTGGGTGGAGGGGGTTGTGGACCCACTCCGCCCTGTTTGTCGGCAGCTGAGGGGGGGGTGGTGGACCCACCCCCCCCTTGTTTGTCGGCAGCTGAGGGGGGGGGTGGTGGACCCACCCCCCCTTGTTTGTCGGCAGCTGAGGGGGGGGGTGGTGGACCCACCCTCCCCTTTGTGAATGGCTACAGTGACTATGAATGGCTATAGTGACAAAGCTGGGGGGGGGTGGTGCACCCCCCCCTCCCCAAGTTGAAGAAGAACACAAGTGAGCAAACTATCGAATATGGAATATCGCATTTTCTCATACTAGGCCTGACCCATGTCATAGTACCATACTCCATGAAGTTACGGAGAACTCAAACGCACAACCTCCCTAGCTGCCCCTAGCTCCAAGCACCGGACCCTGGCACGAGGCCTGGATCTCCTTGAGAATCTGTTCTTGGCGCTGCCCGGCATACGGGTGGGCTGTGGAACCTGACAACAGTTCTATCATGTTCTATCTCACATTGGGAGAGTTGGAACAGTTTACTAGAGGAGCTGAGAATCAGACCCATGTCAACAGGAACACCTCAACATGAGACTACAAGTGACCACAAGCATGAACGCACTCTGATAGGAACCAGCTTCAGGGTGTCATGTGTGAGATTTTGATGCCGACCAAGAGGAGAGCTGGGACAAGTAATGCAATCAGCCAAGGTGAAATGCTTCAGTGCGCACTTGCATAGAATTGTCACCCGTGGTTACTGTCCACAAACACAAGAGACGAAGGAGACCATGACTCGAGACATTCCAGCTGAGCAGGATGCGCTTTCTAGCAACAACCATTGCTGCAGTCAGCGGTTGCTTTTTTTGTGTCTCTAATCGAATCAAATAGAGCTTACCAAATCACACGCCCACGACTGGTACAAGACTTCCTTGAGGCTCCTGATATCTTGTGACTAAGACTTGTTGGCTCCTTGCTTTGAAACAGGTGTGCGCATTTGCAATCCGGAGAAGCTGAAAATGCTGCATAGGCATGGAAGCCCAACAGCATAGTTTTGTCCATTGCAAGTACTGTTTCAAGAATCTGTCAACCTCCACACGCTCAAAGCATTCGGAACTTACTCACTTAACTTGATCCATGTTTTTCAGAAAGCAATACTTCGTCCTTCTTGGACCTGTCACAACCTTTGAACACAAGGCTTTTCACCTTGTGCTTTTTCCGTTCAGTTCTAAAGCAGCAGTGCAATGACGCTGCGTTGCAGTTAGCAGGACCAGCCCTCCTGGCCAAAAGCATCTTACAAAAACTTGCAAACGTGAATTACAGTAATTACAATGTAATTACAACATATTACAACATCTTACCACCAACTATTCGACCCGCGCGAAGTCACAATGGAACTTGTAGTGCCTGGGACATGTTACATGTTTGTGACCTTGGCCTTCCTCTAGAGTAGAAGTCTCCCAACCGGTAGCCGGGATGGCTTCAACCAGGCCTGCCAGGGCGTGCCCCCACCCTCTGCATGTCTCCTGGAAGGGCCTGATGTCAATTTCATTGGACCATCCCAAAGGTGACTGCTGTGCCAGTGCGAAGTATGTCTCGGCAATGTCGTCAGTACAACCCATCCTGCCACTGTTTGACAGAGCAAACTGAGCAAACACAGAAAGAGACACCAACACCAAATGTCCAGAGGTGCGCTGCAAACTAGCATGAGTGACAAATGTTTGAAGCCGCGCTATTTCTGGAAGCGTGCATCCAATCACAGCACTGTACCTTCAAATATGTTTCAAGGAAATTATCCCAACCTGTTCTAGAAAACACACATCAAGGGAAAAAAAAACATGATTTTGAACCCCAGGTCTTGTGTGCGGCGTACATCTCCGGCATCTTCTTCTGGGATCCCGGTGTATCAAGGACAGCATCAAGTCGCACATGAACTGAATGGATGCCCTGTTTGCCAAACTCTTTGGCGATGGACTGCGACAAAGCTCGCAGAGCATGTTTTCCACAGGCAAATTGGGCGGTGCCATTGCCACCGCGGAAAGCAGACGTTGCCTCACTGTCGTTTCTGGTTGATTGAAATTGATTGAGCACCTCTTGACTCCAACATAATCGACTTCGATGTTTGCTCCACAAGTGCAGTGCCTGGAACACCTACCGCACCGCACAGCTACAACATCCAGCATGCGAAATGCCATAACAAGTCTTACCTGCGGCCAAGATACTGATGAAAAGATTAAGGTTCCTTTCTTTTTCACTTTAAAATCGCCGGAACCTTCCGATGCCAACATCCCTGGCAACACTGCTTGTGAGCAAAGCAGAGCTCCTACACATGACGCATCGAATGAGCTTTTGAAGGTCTCAGGATCAATGTCCAGAATTGGAATGCCAAATCCACCACCACCGCAATTGTAGACCAATACATCCACCTGGAAAGCAACGGAAATGTGCTTTCGCTTGTAAGAGCTTGATAGGTAGAGTGCAACAAAGAGGCACAGCAATTCCAGTGTAGGATATGCTGATATGCTCTAAGTGGAAAACATACTAGACATGGGAAGTCATTCAAAGGCTGCATCGCTGAACTAGCGTGGTTCTTGCTAATGATCTATGGAGGAGATTTGTCACCTAACCTCATGATACCTCATGCCTTGCGACCTTTTGTGCAACGTACGTCTCTTCTGAAGCACATTCGTGTCATTAGTGTCATGGGCCTTTCCGAGTTCTTTCGCGGCTCTGCTAAACGCAGAGAGCACAGAGCTCTTGTCCGTGGCATTCACCTCATAGAACCCGTAGCTTGCACCCATAGCTTTCAGTTTCTCCTCACGCTCCACCAATCTGAGACAACAGAAAATCAAGCGCCAAAGGATAAAGCACTGAAGCATCAAAGTAAAGAAAACAGCAACGATGTGTTGACAAAACCTATTCTTTACAAAGGTGTCACCTCTTGGATGTGGCTGTGACCCATCTATAGGCGTTTTGCAAAACCCCAAGCACATTTTGCATGACTGCGTGGAATTTGCAACCCCATCCTCTGTTGGCAGAAAGCTATCAGCTGTTCGGCACATCCCTGCAATTTTGTAACCGGCCCTTGCAAAGCGGACTGCAGCACTACCTCCCATTCCCGGCCCACAGCCAACAACAGCACAGACGCTTGCCATGGTGGGTGATACTTTGGGGCCTGTGATGACCTGGGACTAAAACCTTGGATCCAAAATCCAAAGTAGCGCTTAACACTGTCCCAAACATTCAAACGGTTGTCGTATCTCAATAGCTGGAATCTTGACTTGATGTCAATGTAACCCGAAGCTTTTGCCAGGGTTTTTCCTCCAATGAAAAGCTGCCAGATTGTCTGTTTTACTCTGCGATGTTTCTGAAGCACGCTACGTCAGAAGGTATAATCCCAAAATGACACGTCTTGCAAGTTTTCTTTGCTGACAGAATTGCTCTAAATGCCTGCCAGTCATATGGTTCGATACTTCCTCAGCACCACCGTTCTGTTTTCCCCGTTCGATGCACATTGCTGCTCGAAATTCGAAGGTAGCCTCGCCAGGTGCCATTTCCAACCTCAGCACGATGACTCACCAATGTTTCCTGTCGCAGATTATAGAATCAGCTGAGTACAAATGGTCGCCTGCAATGCAACCACATCATAGTTGTTATATGATATGACTAGAAATCCCAGCCTGCGTATGGGTCGCTTGCCAAAGCAGTGGTAAGTCAACCCAAACCTCAGTAGGAA